AACAGGGCCAGGGGCCTCAGACCGCTCTCCGCCCGCTCCTCCCCAGGCCAGGGACAGCACGGAGGGCTCCGTCTCTGAGTTTGCGGGGACCCAGCCACTCACCACGTGCGATGCCACCTGACGGTATTTGCTAAGCTCTTCTGGCTTCACCAGCTCCTCAGGCACAGTCTTCCCTCTCTGGGGAAAAGAAAAAGCCCCCCAAGGAAAGCGGCAGTGAATGTGGGAGTCGGCCTCCCCCTTTCCTCCTCAGGGGTCAACGGCCTCACCAGACCAGCTCTGTCCCTGGCTCTGGGAGAAGACTCACCTTCTTACGCTCCGTGGTCAGCACAGTGGCCTTATCTTGGAGCTGGGGAAGAGAGAGGGGAACAGACTCAATTTGAGACAAATTATCTTGCCAAGACAACAGTACGTTGGATGCTGGTCACATCTCTTTCACAAGTGTCACCAAAAATTTGTCATCTGCTGAAATCTGCACTAAAGGCTTATGAGCATTATCTTTTTATTTTTACTCCAACCTTATGAGGTGGGTGTTGATGACCCTGTTTCACAGAGAAGGAAACCGAGCCTCAAAGAAGTGAAGTCACAGGCCCAAGATCACAGCAATGATCAATGGCAGAGCCAACAGAACCAGGTCTACAGAGCTCCCAGACCAGGTCTATGCCACTAAGATGAAAGATGGGATCCAGGTTGACACTCTGAATTGTTTGGAAAAGACACAAACTATCAAGTCCTACAAAGGGAGGATTCTGTGAGTGTGAGAGCACTGGGCCTAGGAGCGGGCCAGCTGTGCCTCTTGCGAGCTGTGCCCTTGAATCTGAATCAAAGAAGCCTCATCCGTAAAATAAAAATGCTAACTCCTGGCCTATCTCCCTCAGAGGAAAAAAAACATGAAAACGCGTAATGAAGTGTTTCAATATCTGCAAAGAACCCCGATAACAAGAACATCTATAAGCTGCACTTCTGGGTAACTACAGTCTGTTAGAGTCCCGCAAGCCAATAAAGCAGGTACTATCATTCTCGCTTTAGAAGGCCATGGGCACAGAAGGGTCGGTTACGTCAGCCCAAAGTCATGAAGCACACAAGCGGTGACATCGAAATGCAAACCCAGGCAGCTGGTCTGAGTCTGTGCTCTGCACGACTCCACCTTATCCCCTAATGGATGGCATTTTTATTCCTACGGGACTCAAGGTAGATGTGAAAAGTGAGGGCCCATCAGCATTCTCAGCGAATGAGAGCACGACCTACCTTCTGTATGATCTCGGGAGTCATTCCCACCAGTTCACCCAAATCCATGGGCTCGCCTGCACCCTGAGAAGAAAGGTGACGGTGAGAGAGGCATGGAATGCCACAGACACCTGCAGAAGGAGAGCCACATGCACCACCACACACAAATGGGCGGGTAGTTGCAGGGGCGGGGAATGTGGCGGGACAACACTCACCACAACACTTGGCTGTGAACTCGGCACAGCCTGGGGCACGATGAGACCAGCCTGCGGTTTCAGGGTAGCCAGAGCTGAGAGAGAAGACGATGTTAGAAATGGGGTATGACAACGCAGGACCAGCCCAGAATGGGGGGATGTGTGGGGGAGGCTGCACCTTCTCTGGCAGCAGTGACTTCCTTGGTGAGACGGGCAATGACACGGCAGGCGGCGTCGTGCTGGTACAGCGCGTGGGACAGCTCTTGGCGGGTTGTCTGCAGCTGCTGGCGCAGAGTGAAGCTGTGCAGCATAACTGCATCCTGGGAGAGAAACACCAGTTGAGGGGCTGGGAGGAGCAAGGAGCACCCGGCAGAAGGGTCAGCCCTTGAGAAGAGATCACTGCCACCAGCCCACGGTCTAGACCAAGAGCGGTGACTCAAGCAACATCCAAGTGGCCCTGAATGTGCTGGCAGCCACTCCCGAGCTCCCACCCCCACTTGATGCTGGGCCCAGAGACAGGACTGGGAGCCAGCTCTTTCTCACCCCCATCTTCACTAATTTATTGGCAAATCTCGCATGTCATGTATACCGTCTCACCAAAAGGGAATAATAATGCTGCTGCTATTTATTGACTCTCATTGTGTCAAGCACTGTGCCAGGCAGTCCCTCGAGATACATTCATTCATTATTCACTCGTTCACATTTTAGAACGCCTACTATGTTCCCGGCATTGCTCTCGGAGCTGGGGATATACCAATGAATAAAACAAGTCCATGATGTCATGAAATTTATAATCTAATTTTATTCTAATTCTCTCAAAACCCTGAGAGACAGATACTAATCTGTCACACAGTCAGGAAAACCAGGACTCGCATCTGAGCAACCTGTCCAAGGTCACATGGCAAGTGAACAGTGAAGCTAAGTGTGGAACTCAGATCTGTAGATTTCAACGACCAGGCCCCTCCTCCACGATCACCCTGCTCAAAAGAGAAAAGAATGCTCCATCCTTCCCACCCCCGAGGCCTAGTCCAGTGATCACTCCCTTCAGGTGGAGAAGACATCAGTTCTCTCCCAGGGACTCACCCACTCGTCCTGTAAGGCTTTCAGAATGGCCGGGATGCTGGTGGCTGAGGGAGGCTTGGGCCGGATTGGGTGAGCAACTGCCAAGAGAGGAAAAGCGGGTATGAAGAACCAAAGCCCAGGGGACTCTTCCCCGACTCTTCTCCCTTTAGCCTGCATTAACAGAACACTGTCTCCTCCTCCTCCTCTCATGTGCTGGCGGCACCTCCCACCCCCTCGGGCCCCACCCCCTCAGGCTCAGTGCCAAGACTGAGTGGACTCTGGCCAGCCACTAGGCACCTTTGATGTCGATGAGCTGCTCTTCGGACAGAGGCTGGTTGTTGATGGGGTCTGTGCCATTCTCTGCAATATACTTTTCAATGAGCCGCCGCTCATAGACATGATTAGAGACAGGGGACACACACGGGTGCTCTGGCACTTCATTGGAGACTGTGGAGAAAAGGCAGACAGTGAACTCAGGTGGTGAAAGGGACCTTGGGCCAAGGGGATGCCTCATCTGCTGCTGGCCCCAACGAGACCACACGTCCCCACACTCAACTAACTGGAATCAAGACATGACACAAAGCCAGTTTTGTACTGTCCCCAGAATGCTTTCCAGCTACATAACTAGCTTCTCTATCAGTCTCCTGATAGTCAGAGAGCCAACAAATATATTACTGCACAACGACTACGTGCCAGGCACCTAGAGAGCAGTCAGTCATCCCTGCCTCATTTCTGAGCAAAGATGCCCAAGCACCATTATACTCCAGGACATGAAGAGATACCTGAAGCCACTCAAATCTCAGTCTAGAACCTAGATGAATTATCAAAGAAACAACAAAGCAATGTGACAAGTGTTATAATAATACAAAACGTTTACTTGTTTACTAGTTGCCAAGCACAGCTGTAAATACTTTCCATACATTAACTCATCCTCACACTCATCCCCAAGGGAGGTATCATGTAGATGCCTCTCTCAGTAGTCTGTGCACCTCTTGAGGACAGAGACTGCAGCTGCCTGTGGCTTCCAGCACATTGCAGATGCCCAGCAGGCACTTGGTAAACATCTACCAGATGAGCAAATGAGAGGAAGGATGGTGCAGGATGGAAAAGAGCTTCCTCAGGATTAAACGGAAACGACAAATGTGAAAATACTCTACAAACTGTGATTTCTTCATTGTGAAGGGTTCCTTTTCCTAGTCATCATTGCTCTTCCTTCCTACCTCCTTTTTTTTTTTGGATCTATGGAGAGGTTCTAAGAGTAAAGGGCTAGAGAGTTAGGAAGCAAATAGAGAAAAGGATGAGCCTGATGAAACAATGAGAATGGAAAACATCTGAAGGTCACAATAAAATACCAAAAGGAAAGACAGTACAAGCATGAAAAAAGCATGGATTCGGGGTCAGAGAACCTAGCTCCATCACCAAGCTCTACCACTGATTAGCTGTGCAGCTTTAGATTAGCCTTATACATCCTCGTCTGAAAAACCAGACCTTTATTTTGGCTGTGGAGAAGTCTTGTGAGGATAAAATGAGATCATAGGCTTGGAAGCGCACTGGAAACCAATAAAGGCTTTATAAACGTACGCTGTTTTATCAGTGATATAGAGTGAGGCTGGGAGTTAGAGACCTGGCTTCCAGCCCTGTCATTGCCTCTAACTCACTGCGGGACTTTCGCAAATTACAGGTCTGCCTACTCGAGCGGGACTTTAGATATTTTTCACATGGGAAACCGAGGCCCGGAGCCTTGCGCCAAACAGATCTCAAAGCCAACCGGAGGCGGATCCTGTACAACCCTCCGGGTACCCCGATTCCTACATCAAGGCTGGTCTCCCTGCAACAGCTCTCTCTGTCCAGGCCTCAGCTCCCGCTGCGTAAACAAGGTGGCTGGCCTCAGTGATGCCTGCGACAATAAACTTCAGGCGTTACGTAAACTGGGAAATGCTGCACAAATGCATCCCACGCCGAGGAGGAGGACCCCCATGCTGACAGGCCGCTGCCCTGCCTCCCGGAAGCCCGGTTTCACCTCCGTCCCTGCCCCAGCGCCGCAGCGGCCCGCAGACCCTCCCGCTGGGCTCTCCGGTCTCCTGCGACCCGCGATCGGCCACAGCCAATACTCACTCGAGCAGATCAGGGACATGGCGCCGTCGCTGCGCTTCGAGGGGCCACACACCGGGAACCGGGATCAGCTTCTGAGCTGCCGCGGGCCACTTCCGGTTCCCCGCTGCTTCCGGGACGCTCCGCGGCGAGCGGGGAGCTGTCCCGCCGAGCGATGCTCGCGTAGCCCTTCACGTGGGACTGCGGCGGGTCGCGCGCCTCAGCCTCCTGTACCTAACGGAAACGGCCCTTTCCCAGAATGCAACCTGGCAGGAAAGGGCCCGCCAGGGAACACTCGACTGTTTCCGGACCGACTCGGCTCCTTCCGTAAAGCGCTCTCGGGAACTAGGGAAACGAGATCCCGAACTACATTTCCCACAATGCAGTGGGAATTTTAAAGCCAATGCAATTCAGCAACACTTTCGAGATCGGAGCGCACTGGGCAGTCCGACTGTAGTGTTGAAAACTTGGGGTGCGCGAGAATTTCCCAAAGAACTTGTTAAAATGCATATTCCTGGGCGTCTGCCTTAGAGAGTCTGCATTTTCAGTGCGTGCCCCACGTGATTCTGAGGTGTTTCTCGGACTACCCTTTGAGAGACACCGCTGGGTAACCCGGTGAAGAAAGCGCAGATACAAATGGGCTGAGAAACAACACTGACAAAGAAACCTTTCTGGTCACGCTTCTACTACCAATTTTCCCTGCTCTCTGGGGCAAGTCATCAGCTTCTCAGCTCCTTTCCTACATGACTTATAGGTTCCTTCCAACTCAGTTCGTGTAGGACTCCTTGTGGATATCTATAAGATAAGATACTCCCAGAAATCATGTACAGAACACGTGGTGTAGGCTATAAGGGATCCAGACCAAGCAGCAGGACGGACAGGAGTGGTCAGTGAAGTCTTCGCTGAAGAGGTGTGAATGAGCTATATGCCAGGCGGGCACTATTCAGAAGAGGAGAACAGAGGAGGAATTGCACAAGCAAAGGCTTGGAGAGAAGAATAAATGTTGCAGGTATGAAGGGTAGTATGGCATAGTGGCAGAAAGCATGGACTCTGAAGTCAGTTTGCATGCGCTGTGATCCCAGCTCCACCCAGCTAGTAAGCTGTGAACTTCTCTGCCTTAATTTCCTCATCTGTAAAATGGGGACGTGATAACAAGGGTTGAACTAACTCATAGGGCTGTTGTGAGGAATATTTAAAAAGTATTTTGAACTAAGCCTGGAACATAGTAAATAGAATGTAAATATTCATGTTTGTTATCATTACCCCAAAGCCAAGCAAGATTGTCCAAACTGATATCTGCTCTCCCCTGCACCAGTAAAATAGCATTGTAACTGGTCTCGCTTCCAGCCTTGCCTCCTAATCCACTTTCCACAAAACAGCCAGTGAGCTACTTTCAATGAAAAATTGATTCCCGCTGCTCTCCAGGCTTTTCATTCACTCAGCAAATATTGATAACTTGGAGATATAAATGATGAACAAGAAAGACAAGGTTTCTGCTCTCTTGGAGCTTACATTCTACTGTGGGGGTGGGGAGGGGGAGGACCCATAGATACATGGACAGTCAACACACAAGAAAATTCTGGGGGGGGGCGAAGAAAATTCCGGAAAGTAGAATACTAAGAATAAAACAAATCAGAGTAAAGTAGATAGGAGGTTCTGTGGGTCAGAGGGATAGGCTACTTTAAGCAAGGTATTCAGGGAAGGCATCTCAGAGGAGGTGACATTTTTGTTGAGGTCTGAATAAGGGAGCGTTTTTGGTAGAGGAAAGCTTTCCCACAAGTCCTGCACCATTTAGCCCATGCTGACCTCCACAGTCTCACCCCATTTTCTCTCCAGCCACACTGGCCTTTTGAGTCTTCAAACTTACCCACTCTGGCTGGTTCCAGTACTTTTACCTGGGATGCTTTCCTCAACTCCCTTCCTTCTCCTTTTCCGTCACCCCTCCAAAGTAAACTTTAACCTCACCTTAAATGGCACTTCCTCTGGAGTCTTTTTTTGACCCCTAACTGAAGTTTAGTCCCCATAGCACCCTGTCATTGTGCTCTGAGCCATTCTGGTTAACTATAATCATTTAATTATTTACAAGGATGTGTTTGATGTCTGGAGTCTCCACTAGACTGTAAACTCTGTGATGGCAGGAACCATAGTTATTCCGGTCACTGGTGTTTCTCAGAGTCTAACACAGTGCCTGCCACATAGCAGGAACTTTGTAATTGTTGATAGTTGAATGACAGGCTGCCTGACAGGTCAGGCATCTGAAGTACTTGGATGTGGTAGTAAATCAGATGGATGTGTCTAGGTGGGGCCTTGAACCAGAGGTGGTTAGACTTGAGTGGACTGGCAGCAGAACAGCAGATGAGATATGGAATGATAACCACATTTCCATAGGATTCCTCTAGAAGATACTGGATGAGTTGGAGGAGGACAGACTGTAGGGCGACACAGTAATTCATTTATTGGACATTTCTTTATTGAGGACCCACTGTGGGCCAGTCGGGCACTGTACTAGGCATTGGGAATAACACTGTTAAGCAAAAACAGGTGTCCCTACACTGGAGAGCTTATGGCTGTGACAGAAGAATGGAGGGAAAACGGAGTTCTTTCAAGGTTTTTGATTTCAAAAGCCAGCTCCTTGGTGACAGAAAAGATGTAGAGCGATTGATTTTGGAGTAAATATTACAGGTAAGAAATTGATCTCAGATTCCTCCCTACTCCCCCCAATCTCAACCTTCCCACAGAGGGGGTAGATTCCCTAAGCTGTGGGGCAGAGGGGGATGGGAAGGGGAAGAGATGTTTGCATAGCTGTTGATGGATCCCTGAGAAACGGGTCTCTGTGCCCTGCTCCTCCAGGCCAAGGCTACTGCTGCTTGGAAAGCAAGCAGATGCTGGCTAATAACCCAAAAGAA